TTTTTTTCCTGTATTGGTGTGATTGGTGTGTACACGGCTTTACTCGATAGAACTTTTGTGGTCTTGTTTTTTGTTTTTCAGCATGCCTTGTCACAAATAACAAAATCTCCTTTCCAGTGCCAAAGTAAAATTTAATTGAGCATACCAGTGTGAATAGTCCAAAAAACAGGAGCTTTACCTTAACTGATTAGTTACTTAACAGCTTAACTTATCTGGTTATGCAGCAGTTTTAAAAGCCAGAAATAAAACAGCAGTGCAGAGGAAACAGAGGCACAGAGCCGCTGCTCCTTCTTCGGACTCTCGGTTGTCCCGGGACTCGGCTGGCCAGTGAAGCGCAACTTCCAAACCAGGGTTCTAGCTAGGAGTCACGGGAAGGGCAAGCTCATTAATTATCTCTCCCTCTCTTCCTCCCTCCATCCTCCCATCACACCCTCCCTTCATTACCAGCAAGGTTAATCCCCCCCTTATCTCCCAATGAGGCTCATTTTTCATGACTCCCTTTCTCCCTCCCTTCCCTCATCTCTTCTCCATCCTTCCTTCTCCGTAATTCTTCCCCCTGTCTTTCCTTCTGTTGTTCAGTTCTTCCCTGCATCTTTGCATAGTTTGTTATTCAGCCACTCCCGCCCCCACGTGCTTCCCGTTTCTTCTGCACACTTCCCCGTCTTCTCATTCCCACTGTATCGTTTTAAATTCGATCTCCTTTCCTTTTCATTTCCTTTAATTTTATTTCCCCTCGTCTCCTCGCTTTCCCCTCCGCTCTCTCCTGTGCTTACCTTGAACAGGCCGTGGCGAGTATCTATTACAGCTTATCACTAAAGGACAGGCCAACGCCGCACGCCGGTGAAATATGGCTGCTGTCACAGCCGCCGCGGAACACGACCGGCGCACAAGGCTCACAGAGCTGTGAGGACAGGGGGAGAAGAGGGGAGAGGAGGACTGGAGAAGGGGGTTATGGAAGCCCCTAATTCAAATTAATGGGAAGATTTCCAGGCCTGATGCCGACCGTTTGACAGTGATTTGGCACACAATTAACCTTGTCTCCCTCTCCCTTCTGCAACACCCCCCGGCCCCCGTCACCTCCTCGATTCCACTTGCCTCCTTTTCTCTCCGACTCCGTCCATCCCCTGTAACTGCCGCGCTCTTTGACACAGTCTTAGTGATTACGAAGCAAATTGAAATGCTGATGTTTTGTGATATCAGCTGACATCCCCTTACTGTCGCGTCCCAATTGAATTCGTTCTGAATCGCTGACGTCCACGCTGCATAACATGATGCGACTGCCTCATTTTAGATTTTGGCACGCCCTGTTCCACCACGACTTCTTAACACAACTCTAATGAGCATGACGGCAATTGCCGGGTAGCGGTTTTGTTGTCCAGTTTTAATGATGCAACCGCTTTATTTAGGAAAATCCAGCTCACCGACACGCAGAGCAGACCCGGCGTCATAGAGTCACATTCAGCGACCTGTTTAAAAGGCCGTCCCTGCTGCAGCTCCAACCTTTCAGCTAGATTTTACTGACTGCTTTTATAGGCCGTTTCACCTTGGGTTCCAGTTCAAGGCACCAAACAGCCTATAGCTTTCAAGCAGAGGAGAACAACTGGAGTGTTACAGAGAAAGAGGGAGGTGTAGCAAGTAACAAAATGGAAAGGAGAGATGATGTGTGGAAAACCAGCCACAGTGAGAGGTAAAGGTTTGTGAAGAGAGCTTTCCTGTCTGGCCCTTCAGAGAGAGTACAAACCGTCAGTGTGTTTTGTCATTGTCGTTACCACAAACGGCTAAAATATCTTTCGTTTTTTTGCTCTGTCATACCTTTTTGCTTGCAACCCTGGTTATAAAGCCATCAGCGTTAAGGTGGGATGATATTAACTGTAGCTACCTTGCTACTTTAGATTCCCGCAGATGAATGGGAGGAGAGGAGGAGAGTGCGTTTGCAGTGACACTTTGCAGGTAGCTGAGCAAAGACGTGGAAGATCCCTGCGCCGGCACAATGTTGCTGACAGTCGGTGATTATCCCAAGATTTTTTTCCGAGACTCTGCCTCAGCACATGTGACATGAAGGAATCACAGCAGAGACAAGCATGGCAGTTGGGTGACAGACAGCAGGGCGTGAGCACTGTCTGAGGGTCTGAGAACGATGACGATGTGACACTGTCGGGTCTCAGAGTGGAGCTCGACAGACATCTGCAGACAGGGGAAACGTCTAATAACGACACGCCAAAATAATGTCGTACACAAATCGCCGTCTTATTTTTCTGTTCTCTAATCTTGAGTTATATGTCTGGGATTTCAAAGAGGTTGATATTTTGTATGTGCTCTGTTTTAGGTGTTTAAATGGTGATAATCGCCTTGATAGACATGAGCTTCAACTGGTTAATAACAACTCGTTTTTATAGCAGAGTTGTTGTAGTTTTATGTTTTCTAATTAGTTTTTATTTTGCTTTTAATTCAGTTTAGTTTCAGTTACTTTCCAGAGTGGTTTTTAGTTTGTGTATTTGAAAATGCTTCGTGTTTTATTAGTTTCAGTGTTTAGTTTTAGCCATTTTTATTATTATTGTATGATGTGTATATGTCAGAGGCAAGATTTAGAAAGATCAGCACAGGTTTTACAATAAAAACCCAAAAACCAGGTCTTTGGTTTGTTTTACATCAGCCTTCCTGTGTGGAGTTTGCATGTCCTCCCTATGCTTGCATGGGTTCTCTCCAGCTTCCTCTCATAGTCCAAAGGCATGCATGTTAGGTTACCTGGTGGTACAAAATTGTCCACTGATCTGAATGTGAATGGTTGAGCTCTGCGATAGATTAGCAACCTGTACCTCTCCCCAATAAGAGCTGGGACAAGCTCCAGCCTGACAATGACGCTGAATTGGATGAAGAATGGATGTTTTGCATTATAATAATACCTATAATAATAGCTTTATTTGCTAGTTGCATACATACACGGGGTCTGGGTACATAGGAAATCTTATGTAGAGCTTAGAGTCAAAGCGGTCACACAAAACAAATATAAAACAATGTACTAAAATACAGTAAGAATTATAATATTAGTTCAAGTATAAGGAACGGTAATTTCCATATTGCACTTAAATGACTATAGTATAAAAATACTGCACGTCATTGGAATATATATAGATGGGGTGGCGTTTGTGTGTATTTAGTTAGTCACTATTTTGTTTTTGCCATCAGACTTTCCTGTGGCAAGAAAGACGCCGTTGTGGAAGCGCGTGTGTGTGTGCGTGTGTGTGTTTGGGTTTGAGGCCAAAATGTCCCTCTGCTGCATCTCTGGTTGTAGTTAAATCTTTTATAAAGCTGTTCCCTCTTGTACTGAAAATGTAAGGAGTCCAACTGCACAGTGCTAACAGCAGCTTTACTGGGGACAAATTACATTGAATGTCTTTTTTAATGTGTTTTAATTAATTAAAGTACATTTTAAATTTTAGTAACACTAGAAACAAATGATCCAAATTTCGATGCGTTTAAATCTGTCTCACTTTGAAACAATCAGCAAAGTTTTCACAGCAAAATATGTCAAATATTTTATTGTTTGTTGAAGTTATCGTTGCGCTTCGTGCCACTGCCCCAGTGGGAACCAAACATCTGTCCCTTTGAATCTTATGACTTACTAAACAGCTAAAAGACTAGTTTTACCAGATGGGGGCCGTAATGCCAGGAAACACAGTCGGTAGATTTGTTTGATCATCACAAATGGCTCCAAAATAAATTATGTAAGAGCTGAATATTCACATAATCTCCTCAGCTGAGCCTCCTCTCAGCGCTACTCATGCATCGTGTTTCCTTTTGTTCCAGCGCACTGTTTCCTCTATGTTTCAAGTGGTGGAGAGGCTGGTAGATAAAAAAGATGTGTGTGGATTTTCCCATCACTCTCACGACACTGTAGAAACATGCACACGCACCGTGCACGCTCACAGATTGTAGTCCCGCTGCAGCACGTGTTGCCCATGACTCACGACACAGCCTTGTAAAGGGTTTAACACAAGGTAGGAGGGGATAAGCGGCCTCCCTGATGTTTAAGCTGCCTCTGCTTTGAAGCAGATGCGAGCCTGCGTGTTCATTCTCTCTTTCTCCCGTCCTCCTTGCTCCTTTTGGTTTGCGTGCGTGTGTAATTGTGTGTTGGTGTGCTAAACCAAACCTCACGACTATTAATGCATCCTGATCATCCCACTGAAATTGAAGCTGATGTGTTGCGAGGGAAACGGGGTAGGAATTAGCTCCCTCGATCCAACGCTGGTTGCCTTTTACCATCTGAGGTATCCCGACTTTTATCTTCATGCATTTTTAGCTCAATCCCAGCTCACAACAACTCATGATTGTGTAGATCAGTGCCTGCTGTTCTCTAAAATCCAAATACCGACGTTCATTTAATGCAAGTGATGATTAATTTCATACTTGTTGCAAAGCCCTGATACACATGAATTGAAACTCTTGCCTGAAAATGTTTGAAGTTAACTGAAGTTGATGATGCAGGAATTTCAATTCATCTCATTCAGTTTTCAGACATGAATGATGAAGCTGAAAGTGAATGTACTGCAAGCCAAAGTATCAGGGTTATCGCCATCAAACTCTCAGACGCACAAGTCTCCTCTATGCTAAGTTTCATGTGTTTGCTTTGCTTGTAGACCATTGTTCGAGGGAACCGGCCACCCAAAGATGCATCCATTAACGGCCTGCTGGAGGAGTTCGACAACATTTCGGTAACACGTTCCAACTCCCTGCGTAAAGAGAGCCCGCCAGGCCCCCATCAGGCTGGAGGCATCTCCAAACCCTCGGGCAGTGGCCACCTCACTGCTCCAGAGGAGAACGGATTCAACCACTACTACTCCCGCTACTCGTGTGACCTGGACACGTCCAGCAGGGACTTTTCTCTGGACCCCGGCAAGCCAAGCTTCTCCATAGATGGGGATTGGGCACTTGGCAGGCACTATCGATTCACCAAGCAGAATGGCCACTCACACCCCATACGCAGCCCCTTTTACCCTGATGCCATGCCTCAGAAATCAGACTATGGCAAACTTCCACCTGACTATCACACCTATCTGGAGAGCAAAGGGCGGTCGGCGGATGAGGTGGCCTCTACGGTGGGTAGCGGAGTAGGTTCCAGCGGCTACTACCGGGCATCGGTGGGGGGTTCATCCAGCCAGGACTACCGGGACACATCAGTTGGCACACCGTCTCGTGCATCACTACACAGCGAGCAGATTAACTACCCCGACAGTGAGTGGAGTTACGGCGGCATGAGGGACGAATATGAGAAGCGACCCAAGAGTTCCTACGTGACCCAGACCAGCCCCACGCCTGCCATCAGGCAGCGATCTCGGTCAGGCTCTGGGCTGCAGGAGCCAAATGTCCCCTATGCCGCCAGTGGGACTTTCAGGAGCCCGCCACAGGCCCACCCGTACAGCTCCTACACCTACCCTCGCCTTTCGGAGAGTCTCGCCAACTCACAGACTTTAACCAAGGTAACTAAAGCAAAATGGAAATGCTATGTTTCAACACACTATATCCTCCCAACAAGTCTGTACAAACGTATCAGAGAGAATTTTATACATGTACACTCATGTGGCACACACTTTAACCTCCCAGTCACCTTTTCACATTATTTTCTTCTTCAGTGTTTCGAGTTCTCTCTGATCCTCAACCATCAGTTTTCTTTTTCTGCTCTTCCTGCCTGATAGATGGTTTCAGCTTTAATCTACTCTTCTCTGAAGGAGGAAGGTGATGTCACATAAAGAATTGCACCTCTGGTGTGTCCACTAGCTCTATACACAGTTCAATTAATGCTCAGACTGACCACTGACCAAAAAGCTCTGACTTACACAAATTAATAAATAGGAGCAAGTGTTCTTGGGGTTCAAATTTATACTGAAGCTTTGCACCACACAAACTTCAATCACTGCTAAATATAGCGTTTTAACAGAAACATAATTGGCACAAAGGTATAAAAATATACTATCATTGCAATTATTAAAAGGCTAAGAGAATTACAAATGCAAATATGCATAACGGTGGTCAAGATGAACTTAAATATCTAATAGGAAAGCTTTAGAGCACAGGTGTCGAACTCCAGGCCTCGAGGGCCGGTGTCCTGCAGGTTTTAGATGTGTCCTTGATCCAACACAGCTGATTTAAATGGCTAAATGACCTCCTCAACATGTCTTGAAGTTCTCCAGAGGCCTGGTAATGAACTAATCATTTGTTTCAGGTGTGTTGACCCAGGGTGAGATCTAAAACCTGCAGGACAGGCCTGGAGTTTGACACCCCTGCTTTAGAGATTAGAAATGAGTACATCAGAGGGACAGCTCAGGTTGAGCAGTTTGGGGACAGAGTTAAAGCAGCAAGGCTGAGATGGTTTGGACATGAGGAGAGGAGGATATTAGACTTTTCAGAAGGAAAAGAGGAAGATCACGAAGAAGGTTAATGGATGTTGAACGGGGACGTTGCTGTGGCAACACCTTTCCTCAATTATTTCTTCTCTATTGACATCAAATAAGAGTCAATAAGCTGTTTGGAATTTGCACGAGAAGATTTGTCAAGTTTTTTATGGGCACAAGCCACATGCTCAACTCTGCTGCTCAACCCACAAATGTATTTTTCCTTACAAATGCGGCACCATTTAAAGGTAACTAAACAGGCTTTTCAACAGTATAAGATTTATTACCATGAAACATTGTTACAACAAAGAAATAATCAATCAAACACTAATTTCCTTACTTTTTTGTGGAACGCATAGATGGGCTTTGATATTAAGGATGCCCAGAAATATTTTTTTTTGTTTTTGTGACATGGAAATGCTTTTTATATGACTGTATTACAGATTTTTTACAGATTTTTAACTGAAAACATCTCACAAACAAAACACACAAAAGGCAGGTTTTTGCACGTTTGTAAAAGTTAGAAAAAAAAACATGAATTTAAAGGAACCTATGTGATTGTTGGTAAAATCCCCCAGCAGTGTCACTCAGTAGATTGTATATTGTATTTGGGAACAGCTGCACTGTAAGTATGCCGGCTCTTGTGCAGCCCGTGTCGTGCTCCAGTGGAGCAGTGGGAGAGACGCCCAAGAGATTCCTCTGCACAGAAACTCCACTGACAAGAACAAACGAACCGTCCACGCGTTAGTGGCTGTGTAATGTAACCATATGCTTTCGGTTACTCGTAGTTTTTTTACACCAGAATTCTCAGTGCAAAGAACTCCGTGTGCTGCGGTGGAAGATAATAGATGAGGAAATATAGCAGAGGGCAAAAGGTGGGGTCAGACTTTTCACACAACACCTTTTACATCATTCTTCCAAAGCTCTCCGAGCATCATTAAACCCGCGAGTGCCGCTATCACAGTTCTGCACCATGCCTCCCTTCACACACAGCGAGCCGAGAGGGGAAACCGGGTTTGCTGATGTAGATCCCAGGGTGCCTTGATGAAAAACCATTTAACCCGCGTGTCTCGGTAAATAGCCACTCGAAGAAAAAGCAGCCACGGAGAATGCAAGAGCAGCAGGAAGGCGATGCAGGAGAAGGTCATTTTTCTTTCATGTTGTTTGTTTCACATTTCTGCCGCTGTTTGAGTTGTCACGCTTAAAGAGGCGCGCTTGCTTTTCTATTTAAAAAAAAAAAAAGTAGAATAAGTAAAGAGTCGAAAGCCAATTTAGCCAAATTATACATGAAAGAATATGTTTGAGCATTTACAAACGTACTCTTTCATATCTCAAAGGCGTGACTATAATTGGACTTAATGTGATGGTGTTTTTAATATTTCTTGTTTGATTTTCACAGCAGTGGTTTAAAAAAAGGAAACAACAAAACAAGGAGTCATCTGGCAGCTGAAGAATCACTATTCTTCTTGGCTCACGGACCTTGGAACAAACCCACCTCCCTCTCTCTTTGCTCACTCTCTGCCTTTTCTTCTCTTTTCCTGGTTCAGCCCACTCACACCGCTGAAGTAAATCCTTCTTTTTCCCTGCCGTTGTTGGAAGACGTTGGGGATGTAATAGTAGACAGCACAGAAACTTGGCCACACACAAAGATGCAAACGCACACACACACACACACACACACACACACGCACGCTTCCTTTCTCTCTGCCGCCGTCTCTCTCTCTCTCTTCCTCACTGTTTTGTAGCGAGTGTGAGCTCAGTGCCGCAGCTCTCGGTGACAAATTGATGTTGCGGCACTTTCCCTTTCTGCAGCCTTAGCATAAAACTGGCCGAACGATGTTCCACCGCGGAATTCAATTTCACAGTTGAGTTAGGTTGTTGATTACCCTGCCAAACTCAGATTAATGCGCGTTTAACCAACATGGATCAGGAGACCCCTGGCTGACAGCCAGCGAGCGCTTGCTGGCCAACGATAGAGGGGCACGAGACGGGGGCCTCCCAGCAGCCACCCCCGCACCTGCCTCAGAGTGATTGATTAAAAGAGTTCACACCATGTAATTATACACCATCCCAACACATCAGGGCTCCTCCTCCTACCCTGTCTGTGCTTGTGGGTTTCAGTCTGTGTACGTGTGTGTGTGTCTCTTTGTGAAAGAAAGAGAAATAGCGATTAGGCGCAGAGAGAGTGACAAATAAAAGAAAGGAGGAAAGAGAGTTTTATTTATTATAGTCGGAGTCTCTTGAGGGGAAAAATCAGGCTGGCTGGAGATCATTTTAGAGAGGTGTGGCAAAGGTGATTTAGTTTAGTCTCTGCAGGGTGAAAGCAGATTCATCTTCTAAGTTAATTTTTGTTTTTTCTTTGCTGTAATCCACTTTAGATCACTCTGGGTAGTGTTGATGTTTGCTGTAGCACTTTAATCCCTCTCCTGGGGTTTAAATGACAGACTTTTGTCACGTAGATATGCCACTGACAGCTGTACAGTATCAGCCTGTCTCTACTTACGTCCTATTGTTAATGACCTGTGGCCAGTTTTCCTTAAAATGACAGGATCCATGTGACATAATACGATGACGAAGCTATTAGGTTATGAAACCACTCCAAGTGTGCGTATTTGTAGCCAATTGTGAGTCATGTAATGAAAGCTGAGTCATGTAAGCACTACTGCATTCTCACTAATACCCATGTGTACGCTGCAATACTACTTTGAAGGACAATCTTAAGGAAGAGCTGTGTCCCAGATCTGAGTCCACTGCAGGCTCTTGGTTGATGAATGGAGTAGCTGTGAAGCATTTTAGAGGGGGGTGGGGTGGTAAGGATAAGGTATGGTCGCTGTCCTGTGCACTAAATGTTCTCCGTTAGGTCTGTCCGGGAGTAATGTACCTGCAGGTGTAGTGTATGACCGTGGATGTACAGGCTGACGTTTAACAGTAAAATTCTTCAGTATTCACTGCAGTAAAATGCTGACATCTGCGTAACACTAGACTTGTATGTAATTTTCCTCGCTTTTCCAGGGCGACTATGAGCGTCCGTCACGCGATGACAGTCCCCAGGTCGCAGGTGGTGACACGTACCCCCGAGGGCCTCTTAAGCTACCTCAGAGCCACACGAAGCCGCCTGGCTACCCCTCGGTGCACCTGCCGTACCCCCCGATCTTTCACCATTACAAACCCTCTCCTTACCATCATCCTCCCTCCCAGCCCAGTCCACCATATACCCCGCAGGTACAGTATGTTCGCTAACTTCACATATAAAAACTGCATCATAGTGACGATTCAGTTTGCTACAGATTGCAGATTATACTCTGTGACTTTGGTAAGTTAGCTGAGATCAACACTTCCTCCAGGTTTTTAACTGTAACCATCTTAAATCTCTAACTAAAGTAGCTCTTTCCCAAATTGATTCTTTAGAAAATAAAATCATTAGGTATATAAGCCATGTTATTTCTGTCTTTTTTTTTATAACTTTTTCATCCAGGGGGCCTACTCACAGCCTTCGTCACCTTACGTCCCCCCAGGGGCTTATCCGCCTCCTTCCTGGGGGTCGAGCTCTGACACGCAGCCCTCCAGAGTTTCTCATGAGCAGTTCAGAGCAGCACTTCAGCTGGTGGTCAACCCTGGTAACTTGAAATTCAAGGAACATTGAAATGACACGCAAGCATGTGACAACTTGATAAATGGACGGAATGGACACTTTACCCAAATACACATACATTCATGCAACTTGTTGTTTTTCTACATCCAAGTGTTTCCTGTCTAACATTCAGAGTTTCATATAGCAGTATTTAGAGTCTGTAATGGCCTGAATAAACTGCAGCTTGAGTATTTAGCAGAGGCATGCAACTGCAACTTCTAGATGTTTTTTTTACATTTATATCTTTCTTTGTGTCTGATGTTGCATTAAAATGAGGCACGATGTTTGTGTTCTCCTCCAGGCGACCCTCGGGAATACCTGGACAGCTTTATTAAGATTGGCGAGGGATCCACAGGTATTGTTTGCATCGCCACCGAGAAGCACAGCGGAAAGCAGGTGGCAGTGAAGAAGATGGACCTCAGAAAACAGCAGAGAAGAGAGCTGCTTTTTAACGAGGTATCAAACAACGATTACCTGAGAAACTGTCCTTAGCTCATACTATAACCCAAATAGTTCTGATGTCGTATGTTTGAGTGAATTAATCAGGTGGATTTAGATTGGGGCCATAATGACCACAGAACTAACATTTGTCACAGATTGTTGATAGCCTAAGCAAGCGACAGTCGTGAAACTGTTTTAATTAGCATAATAAAAATGCCACTTTATGCTAATTAATGAAACAAACAGCAAGAGTTCAGTTTGCCCTTATTTCCCTAACATCCATCCACAGCAATTAAACCACCAACACATTTTTTTTTGCATCTGTAATGACATTTATTGACTAAACTGAAGACGTGTTTACGCCGAAAACCTTAAGCAAGAAATGTATTCGTGACTGCTCACATTCATGATGTCCTGACAAGCTAAAAAATGAGCTGCATTTCATTTGCCCAGGAAAAAAAAAGTCTAATGTATTTAAATGTGAACTGAGCGACGCTCGGATTGCATTTCTGCCCTGATTCTTTTGTATTTTGGTCTCTGTTTAGTGTGCATGAGTGGGAGCGAGAATGCATGTATGTAAGCATGAGTGCGAGGTGTGGAGCAGCGGGTGTTCAGCGGGAAAGTAATTTGTTTCGTGTAATCCTATTAATTTGAATGTAATCCTTTTATGATTAAGCCTCCAGAACATGTTCATATTAGACAAAGGGGAAGTTGAATTAATATTGAAAAAATGAAATTACATGAATAGATTCAATAAACCACTGGAATTGTAGATAATTTTTTGTAGCACATTTTAGCATACATTCTTAAATATGGTATTGAATTGAGGAATTTCAGAGAGAAACCTTTTTGAGGCTCAAAGCATGATTTTCATTTCATATTAACAGTGTAGTAACAAAGTATAGCAGCATAATAACAGTGACAGAGCCAGTGTACTACAGTGTCATTAGTAACGATACATACATATATATTTCTCTGTCTGTGTTTTAGGTGGTGATCATGAGGGACTACCATCATGAAAATGTTGTGGACATGTACAACAGTTACCTGGTGGGAGACGAGCTTTGGGTCGTCATGGAGTTCCTGGAGGGAGGGGCACTCACTGACATTGTGACTCACACCAGGTAACTGCTCAATGCACAAATGCTGAGGTAAACCATCAAGCTGTGTGATGCGGAGCTTGGAGGATGTAAGCTGTTGTTAGGGTTATAAAATTATAAAATATAAATTATAAAAGGACATTTTGAAAAACAGGATAATTATTTTGCTCAAGTAGTTAATAGACGTCAAACTCTACAACCAGGTGAGCAGCATGTAAAGGTCCTGAGGCACGTTTTAACTTTTAAGTGATTAGTAAGATATTCCCTAAAAATGAATCAGGGATTCAGCATTGCAAGAACCAGGTAAAAATTAACGTGTTACATCTCGTTTAAAGTTATTGTCCAGTCGAACACAGGCTTTTTAAACCTTTATTTTACCATGAAGGCTCATTGACACCATACTCTACTTAGGAAGAGAGACCTTGGCATTGAAGCAGGAATACAAGCTGCTAATACAGAGTCTATCAAAAGGAATCATCTGATTTCACAGTATCGTTCACTGGTAAAGATCAGAACACGTATTGTAAGAAAGAACGGATTCACGAGTTTCACATGGTTGCTGGCGGCTGCAGTGACTCCAGACATGCTCACAATAATGTGTGAGATGAGTTTGACTATCATATGGAGATGCGACCAGAGAAGGACACATTTAACTTTTGAACATTGTGAGTTGTATATGTAAAAGTTTATCTTCAGCCATGTATTTTAAAATGTCCCGTAAGTTTTTATGTCTATTACTTTAAAAAATCTAGCTTTTTGAAATTGGATGATTCGTTTTGATACACCCTGCATACTAAATGAAACATAAAGTGCAGCATATTTATTTACACATTGTTCAGCTGGTCATTAATGCAAATATCTAATCAGCAACTCGATGCATTTAGGCATGTACACGTGGTTTCGCACAGTTGTTGTCAGATGGGCTGACAACAACAACCAGAAACTTGTGATTTACTGGTTCACACACAAACATCTCTACATTTTACAGAAATTGGTTGAAAAAAAAATCTATTGAGTCCTACTTCAAGCAAGCGCCTTGTCAAACAGAGCACCTCTGGGATGTGGTGGAACCATATAATTGCTTAGTAAGAAAATGCATGTTCTGCAGATGTGTAAAATAAATAAAAACACTGCAGAGACAATCAGCTTCCTTCTCTATTGTTACCTAAGTTTCAAAGGACCTTATAGACAGACTTTGCTCCGTTCTAACAGAGCCAAGTTTACCTGTTTTTCTCAGCATTAGTCATGTATTTACAAAACAGGCAAGACATGATGTCCATCCTCTCATCCAAGAAAACTAGCGTCATTCAAAAATGTGAAATCATCTTTATTTTTATTATTTTATTTTTCAGTTCAATGGCTGTTTTCAGACTGACTGAAAGAGTTAAAGTATCAGATTTTGAAGCATTATGTAATACTTTTATATAAAAGAAGAAATCAGGCCACAGCTTTGTGTGTGTCATTTGTGTTCGTTTTGACTGGTGAGATTGACGGCGAGAGAATCCACATGGGAGGGAAAAAGGTTTATGTCACCTTTTAAAGGGCGTGTTGTTCAGATGATGTTGCTGACATCAAATGGATTTTAATATAACTTAGCAAGCACTGGTGCGCAGTCGAAATTCAATTTTTTTTATTTTATTTGTTGCAGCTGACACGAACAGGTGAATAATTTTGCAAGGCGCAGAGGAAGGACCGGCTGAGACGATACGATGCTCCGATAGTTTCAGGATTATCGTTCTCCAACTTTTCCAAATGGTTTCTGTGTTACTGAGTTGCGTTTCTAAGCTGCTGCCTCATTGTTTTAAGCTTACTTTGTGCTTGGTGTTTAATTACAGTCATTTGCGCGGAGTGTCAGCATTAGCGCTGCGCGGTGTCGGATGCTAATAACACGCTTTGGCGAGGCTGAGCACCGCTGCTGCTGTGAAGTATTTTGAACAGTCTCCCACACAGATGTTTGCTCGTTTGTGTGCTCGGTGCATGCATGAGAGAAAGTTTCACAACGAGTGCTTTTAAAAGTACTCACGGAAAGCTCATAAAACTGGATTTTAAACAGAATTTCTCTTTTTGATAAAGACTCGCATACATTCACCCTGTAGGGTCAGTTGCTTTTTTTTTTTTTTTTACCTTTTATTAATATTATCAGAAAAAGTTTGGAATAAAACTTAATAGATGTCCTTATAAAATGTAGATTGATTAGTATGCAGGCATAAAATAAAATCAGTGAGAAAATACCGCAGAAGGGCTTGAGCGGTGTATTTTCTTCATCAGTAATTTCTGCCATATTTGTCCAGGTGAAAGCCTGCTGCTATTTCTGTTAGGCTTTTTGTTGTGGAAATAACTGCTGCCTGCCTCGCGTTGTGCAAGCCTCATCAGCTTGCTGGCAGCAAACACACAGACGCACACACGCTCTGAGATTTATGGACACATGCGCGCTCAATTCTAACTCACACAGGCAAGTCTGCAGCGGGAGGAGAATGGGGGGTCTGCAGAACTATTTCAGTCACGTTCAGATTTCAATTATACTTTTAAAGTTGGGTAATGATCTGCACTTCGAGGGGATTTTTATCTAGTGTAAATGCAAAAGCATATGGGTTTGTGTGTGCAGCTGTGTGCGTGTGAGTATGAATGCCTTAGTGTTTGTGTGTGCACCTTTTGTCTGTGTGTAGGTGCATGTGTAATTCTCCTCCCTTTGACAACCTTTACAGGCTCATTAAAGTTGTTTTTCACTTTGTGAAACAATTTTCTATTTCACTGATCCTGCCTCCATGAGTGTGTGTGTGTGTGTGTGTGTGTGTGTGTGTGTGTGTGTGTGTGTGTGTGTGTGTGAAAGAGAGCTCATTTGTTTGTGTGTGTATGGGAGCGTGGGATTTTTTCGGGGGGGGGTGTAAGTGGAGAGGCGGTAAGAGGTGATTCATTTTCACGTACGCGTCTCCATCCCATTCACTCTGAGTTAGCCGGTTGTTTTTCCATTAGCAGAAAGCTCATTTATCTCTTGTGATTGTAAAAGCATACATGTGTAACAATAAAATATGCTGCAATCTGTAGAGTGTGATTATATATGTTTAATATTATGAGCGTATGTGTAGCCCAAAGGGTTGTTTCTCATAATGTAAGTTTGCAAGTTTGCAAGTAAGTGCCCCAATAGCGGGAACGTTACACTGTATGATAAAGAGAAGTGTGCAGAAGGGTTGCAAGCATGTAACATCATACTGCAATGCATATACAGTATATGTGCATCTGCATCCATTTGTATCCTTAGTCTGGGGTTTAAAACAAGCGCGCTTCTTTGTGCACATGTATTGTATGATTGCAGATTAGAGCGCACACAAATAAGCACACAGCACAGCCCGGCCAGCTGGGTCTAGAGACGTTAATATTCAGTGGAGCTGTGAGTTTCTACATGAACTCAGTGAGACGCGCAGCATCGCCCCCTCTCTCCATATGGGACCCTCCTGCCTGCTCGTAGCTAGAAACGCTGCAGGCCACAGTGGGATATTTTCAAACTGGGTTTCTACTCCATATCCTCTATAGGATGACTCTCAAGTCTTAAAGCCAGTCATTTTTGTAGCTCAAAGAATAAAAGTCAGTTTTATTTATGAATAAATGTTTTCTTGCAATGCACATGGAGAAAGCACAGGCGACAAAAATGAGCTTACTGGATAAAAACAGATAGCACATTTATTTAAAAGATAAACTACAAATTGTGGAAATAAACAGTTAGCTATGAAAATAAATCTAATCTGATTAAATAAAATATTTCTGACAGGCCGTGTGTGTGTGTGTGTGTGTGTGTGTGTCTCCTTACAGGATGAACGAGGAGCAGATTGCTACGGTGTGTCTGTCGGTGTTGAAGGCTCTGTCCTACCTGCACACACAGGGCGTCATCCACCGTGACATTAAGAGCGACTCCATTCTCCTGACTAGCGATGGCAGAGTAAGTGCACGTGCATATTTCTATTCATCCATGCTCCTCTTGGGATGCTATCAAATTAGTCACTGCTTAAACAGTAATCCACTAAACCCCAGGTAATAATAACCTAAGCTGCTATTCTTTTTCACTGGTCTCACACACACACACACACACACACACACACACACACACACACACACACACACACACACAGTCATTCAACACTCACTGACCTCCATGGGTGCCTGTCCTGCCGCTTGTCAACAGCCAATGCCAGAAACTCATCATCATCCATTACTGCCGTGCCCTAGTAATTAAATCCTGCTTAATGCCTCCTAACGAGTTGATAAGACATGATTAACTGAAGCTTAATTAAGTGCTAATATATGGGATTAGTGTCTTCTGACAAAGCTCTTGATCACAAGAGGTCAGTGCACTTCTGAACTAATATATTCTATTCTGTATGCCCACCAACCTGCTTAGTAGAGACTGGAACCATGTACTGTATATGTGTGTGTTTACAGATCAAGCTATCAGATTTTGGCTTTTGTGCCCAAGTTTCCAAAGAGGTACCCAAGAGGAAGTCCCTCGTGGGCACACCCTACTGGATGGCACCAGAGGTTATCTCAAGATTACCTTACGGGACTGAGGTGAGGACACATGCACAGAAATAACATTATTCTACTGAGGAGTTCAGGAGCATTTCCCTGTATATGTTATGCATGTATGTTTACTGTCCTGGCTGAATAGACTGAATGTTTTTGCTTGTTCAGGTGGACATCTGGTCTTTAGGCATTATGGTGATTGAGATGGTGGATGGAGAGCCCCCTTACTTCAATGAGCCCCCTCTGCAGGCCATGAGAAGGATACGAGACAACCTGCCCCCACGGCTAAAGGAGTCCCATAAGGTAAGAAAAGTCGAAGGCGAGTTCTCAATAAGTAAATGGATCAGACTTTTGCTAACAGCAGAAGAAAATGTTCTTAGAGCTGTCAACTGTTTAGCTGTAAAAACGCATCTCTGTGTGACAGCTCACCAGTCACACCTCAGGTGCAGAGAAGTGCAAGGTAACATTTATGAACTTATATTACAAAAGTACTACAACTCTTTTATTTTTGAGACACATGGATCCTGTAAATATTCATATGAAGCTACGGGTATTTAATTAAATTAAGAGGAAAGACTTCTACAAACAGCTGTAAGCAACAGACCAAAATTTCAGTTCATGTTAATGTGTTTTTTCTAACTCAGATTGCATTTATTGTGAGTATCATTACTCATTACATAACCTAAGACTGGTCTGTGTCTATGTATGAGTATGTAATAATGGATACACCAGAAATATGGCAGTTGTCATATCTGAACAAAATGGGAATTTCAGTAGTTTTAATCATAAACCAAAGTACTGAACTGTTAAGATTTTGGGTAGATCGTAGTGCTAATTCAAAGTAAAGTGAACACCAAAGCCATTACAATTCATTCTAATGGGGACAGAATTTGGTGAGCGGTTGCTGGAAATTGTTGGCAATTGCTAGTGTGAAATTAGCCACAAAGATGTAGTGCACCAAAAACCTCCTTTGCATTGCTTTGGTTTCTAGCAGGTTGCTGTGGTTGCTTGTGCTTTGCATGGCAAGCGCTCCTCACCAAGTGGTGACGAAACTTTGAGAAGTGCAGTTGAAACTGGAAATGCGTTCGCCTTAAAATAAAAGTTTCCCTTTTTGAAAGGTGTTGATTGCAGTGGTACAACCTGTTCTCATGACAGTGCGTTGCAGGCTTTAATCTAATGACTCGTGTTGCTGTTTGTCCCTCGAAATGTCCTTAAAGACGGTTTTATATCAGTCGACACTCACGTGTACCAATTAAAAAACTCAATAATCTGCATTTGGAAGGTCGTGAACAAGTAAGTTGTGTTGCCTTTCAGGCGAGAGACCCAAGTTTGAGTCATACATGTCAATTCTTTTTACGCTTCATTTGTATAATATTCATGCATGTAATTCATCTAGCAGCTTTTAAAAACAAAAAGAAGCTCAGGAAGCTACCAAAATATCTTGGTTTCCATGGTGATGCCTCGCTGTTTTCTACAAAACGTACATGCTTCTGACACTATGTTTCCTATTGAAATACATTACTAAAATGTTCATGTTCCCATGAACACAAAAAAAACAGGAGACCACAGGAATACCAACAAATACAAGGTTGTTTTTTTTGTGTCACAGCCTCTTTGTGATGACAGCAACGTCTGGCAAAAACACGACAACCAATCAGGGAAGACACATTTCCCACTAGCAATTGGAGGTTGCCGGTGGTTGCTGACTGGTCTAAAGTCATGTGTGACTGACCTAAATGTTCCCAAAGTTGATGAAGAGATCAACATCTGTGTTATCACTAAAAGTGTGTGTGTGTGTGTGTGTGTGTGTTAATTTTACTGCTGTTTTTTTGGCTATGTTATACTCAAACCTAGCTAAGCAGATGAATTCAAACATTTGCTCACATCTCCAGGTGTCAACCGTGTTACGCTCCTTCCTGGACCTGATGCTGGTGAGGGAACCGTCCCAGAGAGCCACAGCGCAGGAGCTCCTCCAGCACCCCTTCCTAAAGCTCTCGGGACCCCCTTCCTGTATCGTTCCCCTCATGAGACACTACCGCCATCGCTGACCTGCTGACTCAAACCCCAGCCCTCTCCTCCACTAAAAACATTCACATAAACACACTACCAGGGTGGCACTGCCCTCACCCAGCCAAAACACCCCACTGCTTGGTGGTGTGCCACCAACTTTCACACCTGTAACCGTGAAGTAGATTAGCTAGAGGAATATCTAAGACATACATTAATAAAAAAAAATTTTAAAACACAAGACAAAGCAAAGAAGAAAAAAAACTATTGAAACCATGAACTGGAGTAGAAGAGCGTAATGTGCCAGAGGAAACTCTAGACATCCAGTAAACTACGCAGACTGCCTCGCCCTGCTGCAGTCTTCTTTCTTCCCAGACTGTAAGTCTTCAGCGCCATGTAGACTTGTTGTAGCCATCCAGAGCTTCTCAGAGGGGGTGTGACAACATGGAAGGACCCAAAGCGACCAGCGTGCTGCTCCAGACCCGAGCAGCAGAGGGCAGAACAATCAGTGTGAAGAGAGAGCGGGTTTTTGACTGGTCACGACTGTTTACCGCGTCGTCGGTTCATCATAAGGAGCGCAGGCTGCTGCTCAGAGACGAGCTCTCTCGCATCTCTTGTCACACACTAACAGTGAAAATGTATTTTAGAGAAACCTGTAAGTTTTTCTGTACAGTTTTGATAACTTGCAGTATTTTATCGTGTCGTAACCATTGTGATATGAGCGGTATTAAATAGAGTTTCTGCAGAGATCTTTCCTACTGTTTATAATCCAATTTTTGCTTAAAGATATAAGAGATATCCCAAATAAACCCACCTAAAACCTGTTACTAAAAAAAATACTAAATATATTTATTATCTTACATTTGTAGACAGAACTTCCATTAAATGTTGGGAAAAAAGGGTAATGTCAGAATTTTGTATGACATTTTCAAATATTTATTTATTTATTGGAACTGAAGGTATATTTTTTTGGTAGTGTGGCCTTCTTTTGTTTGGTTTTTCTTTTTTGGGGTTTTTTTGTTAGGTTTTGACTTCAATTTCTAAGAGCGCATTTGGCAGACAGTCGGTTTATCATCCAAGCAATACCCCAGACCTGCTGTATTTATGAATCCATGACGCCCTGTATTTATGATACTGTAACAACATCATGCATTTAAATGTAGCACAGACTGAGTGGATTTGAGAAAGGAAAGAAAAAAAACTAGCTTCACGCAGACTTGTTTTTTTTTTTATATTAGCAGTCTCACTGTGTTTCTTTCTTAATGCCAAAGAGGCGCCTGTCCAAGACGCCTCCCTACCGCACAGAGTTTAGGATGCTGATAAAAGGTTTTCTGCTCACATCCTCGCTGTCATCATCTCACTCCTTATCCCACCTCAGTCAGTCAGACACACACACTCGCTATCACCGGAGCTTTGCTGCCATTCTCATCTCTAGTTTGGACCAGGAGAACAGTGTTATCCCCTTCCCTGTTTTTACCCATCATTCACTGTGATATGTAAATATGACTGTGTGTACGTGAGCCTGTGCGTCTGCGTATGTCAAAGAGCAAAAGAGGTGGAGAGGTGTTTATCTCTACAGCATCTGAAAGTGTGTGTGTGCGTGTGTGTGTTTGTGCGTGCGCTGCTGGCTAAGCCTTGACAGTGAGTCAAGATTTGAATGAGTAAACACTTATCTGTGGTGTTGGCTTGTATAGTGATATTGCATGTTTGTTATCAGTGAAGCTGGTTTCAATTAAAAAAAAACAAAAAACACCCATAAAAACATCAAGATGTGTTGCATGGATTTTTCCTTCATCACCTTATTATGCAGTCGTCTCTTCTTCTTTTGTTTTTTTAACAGCACACTGTCAGAATATCCTAAAGAGGTCTTTTCAATCATCAACAGTTTCTTTTCTCTTTGTTGTTTTTGGGTTCTCATTTCCAACAATTTCACCTGTATTTCACCTCCGAACACAGAAGCAAAAAAAGACACATTCATGGATCAGTGTTGCCATAATATATTAGGTTATTTCTCCCTCTTCCCTCTAAGCCATTTCCCTCTGAAACACCATAATGGGATATTGATTTAGCTCGGACAGAGAATGGAGCTTCTTTCTCACAGGAAGATCGACAGTGGTCTAGTAAATAAAAACACAGCTACTGGGGCCACTGAGAGTATCAGTGAGGATGACACCAGCTTGTAGAGTCAATGTTTGAGTTAGTGGAAAACACTCATCTGTTCCAAACACAACTTTTGTGTGTGAGTGTGTGTTTGTTTGTTAGTTTTCTAAACAACCTTTGGGAGGTATTTGAAATAGTTTGTGTCTTTAAATGGAATGATTTGTAATGAAGCAATAAAAAACAGATTATCTAAATGTGTTTATATACCATAACAGGCCTGCCAAAGTTGTTAGACCACCTTTGGGCTAGTTCCTGCTGCTGTAGGGTCTCAAGGATTGACACACACATGCAGCTCTTATTGGGATATTTTTGTTTTATGTTTTGCTGGGTTTTTTTTTTATTATTAGAAGATTTAAAATCTTTTGATTCATTACTTAGAATTTTTTTAATAATATACTGAAAACAATAATGTACATGTATCTATCTTTGCAGCTCATAAAGGAGAGGCAGAGATTTGCAGTGGTTTCTGTAATGTACTGTCCTCCCTGCATTCAGTGTTGTTGTAGGCTAATAAGGTCACGGCCTCAGGTGTAGTGCATGCAGGTTACCTGGTGTTGCTCACTGGACTGGATATGAACTAAACCCTTTTTAACAGCTATGATGCCATCTCCTTATGACGCTCGAACAAGTAAAACTAAAGGGATATGCCCTGATCAAGGAATTTTTTTAGGCCTTTTTCACGCGTGAGACTTGTCTGTAGCTAATGAAAGCTGAAGAAAATCGCAGCTTGCCGACCTTCGACAGTAAAAGTCCAACTGGAAAACTTGGAATTTCCTCCAGAATAAAAGAAGACAGGCGGAAGCTCGTGGCTGCAGTTTTTGAGAGTTTGTGAAGCTCAGCAACAGGTGAGTTTTCCTCAGTTGTTGTTAGCATGTAGCTTTGTAGCAGAATGAAGGCCGGATGCTAACTTTTTAGAAGCGTCAACAGCTAATTGAAAATATGTATGTCAAAGTAGGGCCTCCCTATCTGTGTTAACAAGCACAGATATCCTGCTTTGTGTTACCCGTCATGTAGTGGTTGAATTTAAAAAGCTTATTCGAGGTTAAACAGGGTAAATTCTGTCTATGTGATGCTCTTTTGTACAGTATGTTAAGCTCAGGTTGCTAATGCTAACACTTAACGTAGCCGCACAATCATGGTACCTCTTTGTAGGCCTACGGGGGATTTAAGGTTAATGTTTTAATAAATGCATAAATAAATACATCCAAAAATCTATGATTTTTTAAATTAAAAGTATATGCTTCGATTGCTATTTGTTACAATATGTGTCAACTTACTTTTTTCTAATGAGTAAGTTATTCTAACATGAAGATAAGTAAAACAATGTAACATATAAAACAATGTAACAGATGTCTCGAGCTATACCTGGCTTCTTTATATTTTCCTTGAAAAATTACAAATATTGAAATGAAAACATAAATGAACGTTCTTAGGTAGCTTTCTTTTGCTGTCCTTCAGCAGTCTTTAACAATAGTTCTCCAGGTTTCTTTTGTTCTGTTCTCTCAGGATGACCCCACACTGCTTCAGTAATGTCATGGTGCAGTTCTCTAGAGAGGCCAGTCCATGACTGATATTGTTCCACTGTGTGTGTTTTTTATTCAGGTATGCTTTTACTGCACTGAATGAAAATGAAGCTATTGCCAGTAGCAGTCAGGTGCAAAGACTGGACTGAATGGGATTAAAAAAGCAGCAAAAGCCCAAAGAAAACCTTTGAAAGATCTTCCTGCTATTGCTCAAGATCACTTTGATTATCAATTAAATCTACAGTACTTAACAAAATTATTTGACAACCTATCATTAAAAAAACCAACATATTTTTCCAAATCTAATCAAAAACTTTTCATATTTTTTATTATTTATTAGGAAAATAACAAACAAAATTCATATTTTATACCCAAATTTGAGCTGGCACAATGAACTCCAGTATACCATTCAACCAATGGCATCTCCATCAAAAATGTTAATATACTTCACT